GCGGTCGCGGCAGTAGAAACTCTTCTTCAGTGTTACTTTAGTTCAGTCTGAAGTGTTTCTGGAGGTTTGAGGCCTGAAGAATCTGTAAACATCAGTCATCAGCACCTATTCATATCCACTGCAGCGCTCCGGCATTCCAGGTCCTTCATCAGCCGGATCCCGAGAGCCACGAAACAACGGGATTGCACAGGAAAAACAGAGAGAGAGAGAGAGTGGGCGAGAGAGGTGTTGAAAGGCTTGTTTGTAACCAGGGTTTATCTGAAAGCTCTCGTAATGCACTTCCACATGGCTTCAGATCTGTAAAAGTGTTGATGTGTGTTCTGCATCTGCTCTTTTGTGCCTGTTATGATCATCATTTGGTGTTATTTCCCAATTAACGCTAAAGCAGTGGTGCAAAGCATCATGGGACACACCTCTCAGTTCCCACGCAGACATGTGGAGTTATTTAGTCTTTCGCTGCCTGCAGGAGAACGTGTTGACTTGATTTTTTGGTTTGTTTTTGATGAGTGAAAATGTCCTCGTCAGGTGACCTTTGACCCGGGACGGTCCATCACTGTCATCAGCTGTCGGAGCGAGCGCTCGCTCGTCTTCTGGGAAACAGTGTCAAATACTGTGTATTTCAGACTGACACATCGGACATACTGTGCTGGTTTAGTGATGCACTGATGTATCAAGCGTAGTAATACCATGGTACTATGATAAATTACTGTACACTCAATTACTGCTTTAATGTATAGTACCATGACACCTTATTGTGCTTTTTACTGAGCTGCTACTCTGCATTGCTTTAAATGGAGATGTTTAAGCCTTGATTTGCTCATTGTAATAAATAAATGATAGCGATGGTGATATAAAAAAAAAAAAAATCAGCTGATTTTTGGCCATTTTACTACAACTAAAACTATTACAGAACTATTACAAAGCTTTGCGTAACAGAAATAAAGCTGAAAAATGTAAATATTAGATGATAAAATAAAATAAAATAAAATATAACTTATTTCACTTAGTTGGGCAACATTTCTTATTTTCTTTCAAGTTTGAAGTATTAAAATCAAAATTAAATTAAAGTTAAATAGAAATTAAAAAATACTAAAAACTAATAAAAATTACAAAAACACAACACAATTACTAAAACTTTAAATACAATTCATATGAGAACTAATTAACGCAAAAAATGTAAAAATATTAATTATATTATATTAAATATTAATAAAACCTCTAACGATATATAGATAATAGCACTGATTTGAGCCCTCACAGGAAACTGCTGCCAATTTTTGAATTTCATAAAACACCGTTTTGTATGTTTTTTAAGCCTTTTGTTTTACGGGGACACACACACAGACACAGACACACACACACACACACACACACAGACACAGACTATTTACTGAGTAAATGTTGTGTAAAAGTAGTTTTGATTTAGTTTGTATCAGTATTGACTATTAAAAAACCTGTGTTCACCGATCACTAAAACAGTACTTTTTCTTCTCTTTCTGTGTTCATAGGTGGCTTTATAATTGTCCGACAGAAAGAACCACTGAGCTCCAAATCTTGAGTCAACTTTCTTCTTTCTCACTCAACCAATCCGCTGGAAGGGGAGGAGCCACATTCAAACCATCCAATCCAAAATGAGGGGTGGGGCCATGGGAGTTTTACAAGTGCTGCTATTGGCCAGTGTGCTGGAGCCTGCAACTCTGGGTGAGTCTTACACTTTCATTGCTTTTCTTGCATTTCCAATGGCTTTTTAGAAGCATTTTATATCCAAAAGCAGAAAATATAAAAGTGTTTTAGCAAACGCCAAATGAAGAGACAATATACGAGATGCAAAGGCAATATCAAATCAAATGTTGTTAAACAGCATTATCCTCTAATAAGCAGCTAATAACACATATCGGGGAAAACAGTACACTTTTGCAACTAGATTGAATGTCTTATGTAATAGTGCCTTAAAATTGGTCTAAAATAAGCTGTTTAAAGTGCCAGCTTGATTATGTTGTCTACTTGTTTTAATGGCCCTCGGTAGTGCACCTTGCAATGTGGTCTATGTAGGCAGCTTACTGCATTTTTGGAACAATATGAACACCTTAAGTTGATTCAGCGAAACCAGCTTAGCTCTTTCTTGAACAGAAAATGACCATGATTGGCGATTAGAGGTCCTGCCATCATTTCAGAGGATAGATGTTGGACAGAGAGGAACGTAATTGTCGATCAGGGAGAAATAAAACAGAGCGGGAGAAGTAGGAAAGAGGGATTTAGAGAGAAAATTAGACATAGAGCTGTCTAATAGCATGAGGTCAATAATTATTTATTTACCATTTGTTTGTGGGTATCCATGTAATAAGGCTTGTCTCATTAAAAAAGCTAATGAGCTGCATTGTTCTGTTTTCCATTCGACGTGCAACAGTCGGAAAAAACACACAAATTCCCCCGAATGCTCTGACAAATAGACTTAAAAGCACACACACATCCAACCGAGCTCTGAACTGCTGTAAAGAAACAAGGGAAGCACGCTCATGTTTTAAAGGCTGAAGATACTGAAACTTACTGCTGTAATTAAATTACCTGTGGGAGTGTTTTCGTCCTTCTGCTGAAGCTTTTCTGCGATATTGATGTCTACAGTGCTTTATTGTTTATAATGTACATTTTTATGTGAAATTTGAAGGACAAATTTGTGTGCTGCAAGACTGAAAGTCTCTCTTTAGAAGTAAAAAATGTCCTTACAAAAGCAGTTTGCATGAATGCAAATGATAAATATCATAAAAAAAAGAAAAGATAAATGTTTCTTGAGCATTAGAATGATTTCTGAAGATCATTTGACACAAGACTGAAATAATGATGCTAAAAATTCAGCTTTGATCACAGAAATAAATTACATTTTACAATATATTCACATAGAAAACAGTTATTTGAAATTGCAAAAATATTTCACATTATTACAGTTTTTACTGTATTTTAATCAAATAAATGCAGCCTTGGTATATGAGAAAGATACGTCTTTCAAAAACATTAACAAAATCGGAATTATTCTGAATAGTTTGATCTGTACCCTAGTGAAAAATAAATAGACTACAATGTATTTGAAATACATTTATCCCATGTTAAGTATACTACAAATGCATTTATGTACTCAATAAAAATGCAATTGCACTGTTAGTATACTAACCTGGTATACTTAAAGTCTGCTAAATTGGAACAACTAATTTAGTGCTTAATGCACTTTAATTGTGTGAAAGTAGTGCTAAAGTCCAACTAAAGATAATCTCAAGTATATTTGATTGTGCTATTGTGGACTTATTGCATGCATACTTTAAATATCTTGCATTTAAAGACCGATATTATTCAAAGATCATACAATCCTTAACAATAGTGACATTAAAACACATTTTAGGCTTAATATTAAGAAATGTGCATTGTGCACAAGTAGAACTCCAAATAAAGTTTATAATTATAATTTTTATATCACACGTGTTATTAGCTAAGCAATATGCATAGACTTATGTGGATTTTAGAAAGTGGGCAAAGCATAACATGCACACTTCCCAGCTATGTGGATTTTAGAAAGTGACGGGTCACGACGAGGCGTTCCCCATAGCGACCCCTAGAGGACGCAGTTCGAAGTTCCTATGAAAGGGAACATATTGCTTAATTTTGACATATTTTCCAGAAAGCAAAACTCAATATCTCATGTGAAGTAATTGTATCTTGATTTAATGTGTAGATATGCATGCTGGAAAACCAGATAAAAATACAGTTTAATTAGCATAAGTTTTGGAAAAAAAATGTATTTGCACTTTTTATGTGTAATACTTAATTATGGTTAGAGGTCGAACGATAGCAGTGATTTCAACCACTAGAGGCCGCTCTCGCACTGTGTAATGACAGCAGACCCTTCTCAGCCGCTCCAGCAATGGACGCAACCCAGAAAACTATCGGCATGGTTTTTTGTCGATAACCGATAGTTCCAGCAATCAACTATCGGTGCAGATTAATCGGCAAAACCGATACATCGGTCGACCTCTAATTATGGTACAAAAAAAGTCCTAATTTTTTAACTTGATTCATTTGGAAAGCAGCTGAAAAACGTGCTTTGCCTGAACCAGACACGCGTGAAGCGACAGAATGTGTGTGTTGTTTAACATAAAATAAAGCTAGTATTAAAGGTAGTGCGTTTGGAACTCCTCAGATATCTCTACACACATTCAGAGCTTCTTATATCTGGATGGAGGACGAATTACGGAGGATTTCTGAGCTTCCGAACATTTCACACGACCCAAAAGGCTTTTTATTTAGTTTTGTGGCAGTATTTTGACGGTAGATCAAACAGCAGCAGTCGACCGTCTGAGGAAGGTTTGAAGTCTCACACACATGCGTAACAGGCGAAAACATCCATCTGACACATATATACACAGAACAACAATTAGAAACTAGGCCAGGTGGACTGTCAGGGTCTTGAGTAGACATCAAACGGATCAAAATTGCCATGCTTATTACTGTATATGTGTGTATCAGTGTGTTTTGCACTCGCTCTCACACACACACTGAATAAATAAGCTGAGCTTCTTCATCTTTGCCATGATGCAACCCTGAGGAAACTGCATTCTGATGTCCCTCAAAACCAGAAACACCTCAGCTGTGCTTTTAAAACGTGGTCGTATTTATTGCACGGCTCTCTTGATTGTGATTGGCCAGCCACTGAATTCTGTGGTCAGGTGATTTGTTTAGTGACCGGCACGTTGTCTAATTGACTGTACAGTACATAGCTGTGCAGGTTTCATGACTTTCTGTCCTGAATTAATTTTTTTATTCTGCAAGGATGCATTCAATTAATCAAAAGCGACAGTACAGACGTTTATAACGATACAGAATATTTCTATTTTTAAAAAATGCTGTTCTTTTGAACTTTCTAGTTATGAAAGAATCCGGAAAAATTTAATTCAT